ACTGTAACACAGATTGTGTGATATAAATAAATAGTCATTAGCTGCTCTGTCTCCAGGGGAAACCAGAGCTAATTGCAGGATAATGAGAATGTTTGTCTGGCAGAGCATGAAGGAACACACTCCCACACTAAAGTACAAGTGCTTCTGTATGAACAGTGACAAAAACACCATAATTACAGTTCATACTGTACAAACCACATAGGAACGATGGATCAGTTATCTCAAACAACAGGACCTGACCTCTGGAAACAGAACCAGAGGCACAAAGACTGCAGCTCAGAAAATACAAAGAGCATTCTGTTCTGTGTTGTATTGTACTGAATGTGTTGTATTAGCAGTTTCACGTTACAAATCAGTGTTTCTTTGTTGCTGTTTGGCATGTCAGCGATGGGTGGCTTGCTCACCATCTGCTAATGTGTGCTCACCGTTTTTTCTCTGACAACTTAAGATCCAGATGTTCAGGAGGTTTTTACCAGGAGCCGAATTATCCACAGAGGTCTCCTCTCCAAAACAAATGGACCAGGAGTCTAATTTTTCATTCTCAGGGTCTCATTGAGGAGGCAGTAGCTCAGTCCACAGGAACTTGGGTTGGAACTGGAGGTTCACTGGTTCAAGTCCCCATCCAGACCAAATATGGAGTATGGACTGGTAGCTGGGCACTGCTGAAGTGCCTTTGAGCAAGGCACCGAACCCCTAACTGCTTGGGGCGCCTGTCCATAGGCAGCCCTCTCACTCTGACATCTCTCCATTAAATGCATGTATAGTCCTATTTGTGCACATGTGTGTATTTCGGGCCTGTGTGAATGTGACAACAGATGAAAAAAAAACTGAATTTCCCCTCAGCGATTAATAATAAAGTCTTCTTCTTCATTTATAGAACACTGCATAGGAGCCACACTAAAAGTGTACATGTAGACAAAAGCAGAAAATGTGTGTGCCAAAAAATAATGTGATTTATAAAACATTGCATACACCAGACAGTTCGCAATTTCCTTCCCAAATCAACTTGGAATTGTCCGCATGTGGATCGGCCTTATATCCTGCCCTCTACACGCCCACATTCAACCATTAAAGGTCAGGGCAAAAAGCACCTCATGAACGCTGATACACAGAAATGAGCCTGCTGATCAATGGGACTTCACAGGTGAATCATTGCAACAGCCAAGTATCACTGCAGTGTTTAAAGTTTACAGCATTTACACTGATTGCTTCACACCTCGTCAAAATTATCATGACAATTAGTATATCTCCGACTAGGGCTGGGCGATTAATCAAATTTTAATCTCAATTACGATTTTGGCTTCCCACAATTATGAAAACAGGATAATCAAAATGAAATGATTATTGTGCTGCATGCCGTGGTGGCGTGTTGCGCTTTGTCTTGTGCTGTAAAAGCAGCGTATCCTTCCTTCCCCGGCAGCTGTGTGTCTAAACAGTTTCTGTTTCAGCTCGTGTTGAGAGGGAATAGGGAGTCACGCGGCACATTTCTCCAGTGTTTTGAATTTGAAACTACTTGAAGAAGATGACAGAGAAGTAAGGTAAAACTAAGGCGACATGCTGTTAAGTAACATGTTCCACAAATTTGTCAGCGGTTTTGAGCTGGGAGAGCTTTTTACAGCGGTGATGCAGAGCTGCATGCACAAAGCAGACACGCACACACACAGGCAGGAGGAGTAAAATCATCCCACAGATCATCGCACGAGTCGATCTTTTTAATTTATGTGAAGCAGAAGAAGCAACGGCCCATTTAACCAGGAACACATGAAAAGCTTTGTGCTATAAATCCATGAGGTTATCGGCTCTGTGTGTGATTATAAACAAGCAGAATCACCTGGTGACAGGTGTGCTGTTGTGTTGTGTTGTGTCACGCCATTTTTAATTCTACAATGCCAGCACGCAGTGTATAAGGACAAACTGGGGCGGCTTTGATCAGTGAATAATCGTGTTTAATAATCGTGATTTCAATGCCAGTCAAAATAATCATGATTATTATTTTTGCCATAATCGCCCAGCCCTATCTCCGACGCTAGGATATCATTTGAAGATGAAAGTTTGATGGGTGAGCACTATTTATTTATTTATGTAAGTTTCTTATGGCAATCTTTCTGGGAATCTGGGACTCAAAATGAGGATATGGAGTTTAATAATTGTGCGAGAGCTGGCGATGGCTTTATTTCCAGACTTTATTGATTTACACAATCCATATATGCAGGCGGTGAAAATGTAGGTAGATGACTGGAGAAGGAAAAGTGTGTGGCAGCGACTGCAATGTCTCCAATGCGCTCTGTGTGCACATACAGTACAGGCCAAAAGTTTGGACACACCTTCTCATTCAATGCGTTTTCTTTATTTTCATGACTATTTACATTGTAGATTCTCACTGAAGGCATCAAAACTATGAATGAACACATGTGGAGTTATGTACTTAACAAAAAAAGGTGAAATAACTGAAAACATGTTTTATATTCTAGTTTCTTCAAAATAGCCACCCTTTGCTCTGATTACTGCTTTGCACACTCTTGGCATTCTCTCCATGAGCTTCAAGAGGTAGTCACCTGAAATGGTTTTCCAACAGTCTTGAAGGAGTTCCCAGAGGTGTTTAGCACTTGTTGGCCCCTTTGCCTTCACTCTGCGGTCCAGCTCACCCCAAACCATCTCGACTGGGTTCAGGTCCGGTGACTGTGGAGGCCAGGTCATCTGCCGCAGCACTCCATCACTCTCCTTCTTGGTCAAATAGCCCTTACACAGCCTGGAGGTGTGTTTGGGGTCATTGTCCTGTTGAAAAATAAATGATGGTCCAACTAAACGCAAACCGGATGGGATGGCATGTCGCTGCAGGATGCTGTGGTAGCCATGCTGGTTCAGTGTGCCTTCAATTTTGAATAAATCCCCAACAGTGTCACCAGCAAAACACCCCCACACCATCACACCTCCTCCTCCATGCTTCACAGTGGGAACCAAGCATGTGGAATCCATCCGTTCACCTTTTCTGCGTCTCACAAAGACACGGCGGTTGGAACCAAAGATCTCAAATTTGGACTCATCAGACCAAAGCACAGATTTCCACTGGTCTAATGTCCATTCCTTGTGTTTCTTGGCCCAAACAAATCTCTTCTGCTTGTTGCCTCTCCTTAGCAGTGGTTTCCTAGCAGCTATTTGACCATGAAGGCCTGATTGGCGCAGTCTCCTCTTAACAGTTGTTCTAGAGATGGGTCTGCTGCTAGAACTCTGTGTGGCATTCATCTGGTCTCTGATCTGAGCTGCTGTTAACTTGCCATTTCTGAGGCTGGTGACTCGGATGAACTTATCCTCAGAAGCAGAGGTGACTCTTGGTCTTCCTTTCCTGGGTCGGTTCTCATGTGTGCCAGTTTCGTTGTAGCGCTTGATGGTTTTTGCGACTCCACTTGGGGACACATTTAAAGTTTTTGCAATTTTCCGGACTGACTGACCTTCATTTCTTAAAGTAATGATGGCCACTCGTTTTTCTTTAGTTAGCTGATTGGTTCTTGCCATAATATGAATTTTAACAGTTGTCCAATAGGGCTGTCGGCTGTGTATTAACCTGACTTCTGCACAACACAACTGATGGTCCCAACCCCATTGATAAAGCAAGAAATTCCACTAATTAACCCTGATAAGGCACACCTGTGAAGTGGAAACCATTTCAGGTGACTACCTCTTGAAGCTCATGGAGAGAATGCCAAGAGTGTGCAAAGCAGTAATCAGAGCAAAGGGTGGCTATTTTGAAGAAACTAGAATATAAAACATGTTTTCAGTTATTTGACCTTTTTTTGTTAAGTACATAACTCCACATGTGTTCATTCATAGTTTTGATGCCTTCAGTGAGAATCTACAATGTAAATAGTCATGAAAATAAAGAAAACGCATTGAATGAGAAGGTGTGTCCAAACTTTTGGCCTGTACTGTACTCATGTTCAATGCAGTGATTTTATACACAAAAACTGAAAACTCAGATTGTACTTGCTGATATATATTTACAGTACTAGAGGATATTATTGTAAAATGTTGCTCTATTTTGCAATTATCTAATGCTATTTGATGTGCACTCCACTGTTGACCACGAATGAATGGAATGGAATGTGATGGTGAGACAACGATGATGAAATAATGAGCAAAATTCAATGTGAGATTTGAGTAAGCTAATCATTTTTACAACTGACAGGTGTTTATGGAAAAGTTATGGCTCACTAGCGTATGCATTAATAACACAGCAGGATTGAATGTTTATGATGAAGTCGCTCTATAAGAAACAAGTGATATGAGTGAAAATTAAATGTGCGAAACATATACATATAATGATATCTCGCACAATTTCTACAATGTGGCTTCAATTCACCACCTCACCATTGCCAGTATCCCCTGCCTTCAAAATGTTCGTATGAAGGTCAGAGTTTCCCAACAGGTGTTCACAATTTCCCGTCAAGTATGTTTTTATACATCAAAACATTTGCGTGGGAAGTGGTGAACGCCTTTTTCAGGCCTTGTTTTGTGCATAAGCAATGTTTATATTTGAGACTCCAAGTGATATAAACTGGTAAATACACTGAATAAAGCAGTTTCACGTTAAAAATCAGTGTTTTTCCTGTTTGTCTCAGATGGGCTTTTTTATAGGACAGGATAGGACAGTGGTAGTGTGAAAGGAGGAGAGAGGGAGGATGACATGCAGCAAAGGGCCACAGGTCGGAATCAAAACTGTGGCCACTGTGGCAAAGACATAGTCCTACATGGGGCGCTTGCCTAACCAAGTGAGCTACTCAGCATCCTGATAACACCACGATTCTTATTTTTAGGTGGTTTTATACTTAAGAAAACATTATTATTATATTAAATTTCATATCTGCCAATATATCCCCCTAAATCCTCAACACTGGACCTTTAAGTTCACATGTAAATGCTCATACTTTCACATACTTCATTTAAATGTATCACTTTGTCTTTGCTGTGTTCATTCTGTTGTGAGACAACATGTGAATCTTTACCTGTAGGAATTGCTGTGTCATCCACAGGCAGGTAGGACTGTGCACTGATGGACACTTGATGGTCATAGATGTCTACTGCACCCTTCACACACACACACACACACACACACACACAACCACAGAAGAGTGACAAGTGTAGGGATCAGATACCTTTCAGTTCATCCAATATCCATCCATCCATCTATACATCCAGTATTCTAATTATGTTTTAAACAAGCACAGCGCGCTTTTCAGCTAATAGTAAATTGTTACTAACAAGCTGAAACATCAACTGTTCCCGTCCATAAATGGTTTAGCTTAGTTTGCAACGTATGCCAAGACTTACCAACAGTAATGTGACCTGCAGGCAGTGACTTTCCTCAGCACCAGAGGGAGGAGCAGAGAGGACAGGAGGACTGATACTGACAGATGTGTTTTTTATTCTTTCTAAACTTCAATCAGTATTCTGATGTCAGAAATATAATTTATTTTATTGACATTTTGGATTCCATTGGTTTCCATTGAGAAATTGAGTTTATATAGTGACTCTATAAATAACATTTAGTTATAAAATATTTAGTTTTAAAGGTAAATTTTGGTTTATTTCAACCTGTCTCCTATCGTCCTAAATTTGTTTCAAGTGACTAGTGACATAGAAATAATAGTTAGCATGTTAGCCGTTAGCCTAGATACAGCCGTAGCGTCAGACCTGTTGAAATGTAATTGAACGGGCATCCTTTCAAGTGCAAAGTTAGTCCACTAAACAAACTTTTCTCTACAAAGACCGCCTCATATCGTTAGGATAAATGTCAGAGAACATATAGAAAACGACGTGTAAACGTGTTGTCTTACCTTACCGGTGTGATGCCATGTTTGTTGTTTACCATTTAGCTAAGGCTGCAACCGGTCCCATTCCTTGCAACAGAGGTATTCCTCTTCTGTGGGCATTGGGGTACAGCATTCACAGGTAACGTTAACGTTACACCACCAATCTCCAGAGCTAAAGCCTTCCAGCAGCCATTCCTCCCCTCTTGTCCTCTACCTGTTGTGCCTCTCTCTCTCTCCTCATCCGTTCTTTAATTTCACGAAGCTCTTCGTCAGTATATTCTGGCTCAAATAAATAAGGGCGGCCATCGCCTCTCGATGTGGAAAGCCTATATACTAACATTCCACATTTAGGTGGTTTTCAGAGTTGTTGTCTTACCTTACGTGTGTTTACCATTTACCTCTCCTTCCCAAAGTGTGGCCGAAATATCGCGAGAACAAGCAGCGATCTCATACCGTGCCTGAAATCTCCCGAGAACAAGCCGCAGCAGCTGCAAGGCAGAACCGGACAGTAGCCTGAAAGGTTCATTCATTTATTTTATGAAAGATTTATAGAATAATGGCTGACTTTTTGCCAGACTTTGTGGAGGAGGAATTTGATTTTGCAGAGTTTTATGGCCACCCTTATTTATTTGAGCCAGAATACACTGATGAAGAGCTTCGTAAAATTGAAGAACAGAGGAGGAGAGAGAGAGAGGCACAACAGGTAGAGGACGACAGAGGAGGAATGGCTGCTGGAAGGCTTTAGCTCTGGAGATTGGTGATGTAACGTTACCTGTGAATGCTGTTCCCCAATGCCCACAGAAGAGGAATACCTCTGTTGCAAGGAATGGGACCGGTTGCAGCCTTAGCTAAATGGTAAACAACAAACATGGGACCACACCGGTAAGGTAAGACAACACGTTTACATGTCGTTTTCTATATGTTCTCTGACATTTATCCTAACGATATGAGGCGGTCTTTGTAGAGAAAAAGCTTGTTTAGTGGACTAACTTTGCACTTGAAAGGATGCCTGTTCAATTACATTTTAAGAGGTCTGACGCTACGGCTGTATCTAGGCTAACGGCTAACATGCTAACTATTATTTCTATGTCACTAGTCACTTGAAACAAATTTAGGACGATAGGAGATGGGTTGAAATAAACAGAAATTTCCCTTTAATCCTGTTCTGAGTTTCTTCTTTTTTTAAAAAAAAATAATCCCATGTAAAGTTTACAGTATTTGTGCTCTGAGAATCTCTTTAACACTATAGCAAACATTGGTATTGTAATTGAAATATCCCCAATTGAATGGATATCGAATCAAATCGGAAATTTGATTGGGACCTTGTGAATCGAAATCGAATCAATTCAGGAAATCAGTGGCAATACCTAGCCCTACTAAAGACAAAGCTATTGAGCAAGCAGGTGAAGTTATTCCCTGCCTTCCAAACCATTTGCAAATCTTAAGTTTTGGCAGAGTCTTTGCATAAGGGTTCCAAGGATACTGTTTTATGATGTACCAATTGACAATATTCTTTACATTGTTTTATATCTTTAAATATGACCACAAAAGTAGTAATTTAAATCCCTGACAACCCAGAGTTGAGACCAGGACTCAGAGTCGCAGTCCTATACGCCTCTCTGAGCTTCCAGTTCAGTTACCCAGCCATAGTTTTCATAGTTTTATACAAAGGGTGTCTGTCCCCCGACCACCTAAATTATTTAAATCTAAAATTAAACAAAGAGGAGTTGTGCATAACAACCTCATAAAAATTAAAACCTCTTCTGTGACAGAAAGACAAAACAGGAGAATTAAATGCGGACTGTTAAATATCAGGTCTCTATCGTCTAAAGCAGAGTTAGTAAACGAATTAATATCAGATAATCATATTGATTTACTCAGTCTCACTGAAACCTGGCTGTGTCAAGATGAATATCCTCGCAGCCACTTTTATTTGTTATAGTGTACCATGCTCCTGGCCCATATTCTGAATTTGTATCTGAATTCTCAGAGTTTTTATCCAGTCTAGTTCTTAAATCAGATAAAGTTATTATTGTAGGCGATTTTAACATTCATGTCGACGTTGATAATGACTCCCTGGCTACCG